ACAGCCACGTGCTGTTACAGCACTGAGTGCATTTACATCATGCTTGAGTCATAGCAGAGTACATACAGGGTCATAGATTGAACATCAAGTGTAACAAGAGACTTAAATACTAACAGAACAGGCCTAGAAATCATAAACAGCAGCAAAATTACGGCACAGAGGACTCAACTTATACCCTCGAAAGTTGCAATTTAAGTTTTTCTTGAATTTACATGATTTTTGGAACGCTTGGATGGTTGTGGTTACTGACTGAGGGCCTGGGCATCTGCCAGCAGCAGCTCTGAGCATACATGGCTTTTCTTCAGGAAGGGCAGGAGAAAGGCAGGGACTGTTGAGCTGCTTTCTTTCCCTCATCCCATGGAAGGCTGCATCCAGAGCAACAGGGTCAGGGGATAATGCAGGTTAATTCAACTTGGGAGGGACTTGATCAGGGCATGTTCTTCTGTAGGAGAAAAGAAATCCCTTCCATTGATTTGCTCAGCAAACTCCACTGTAAATGTGCCCTGGCAAAGCAGAGAAGTTTGGCACCCAAACTAAGTAATATTTACACACAAAACCTCCATTATCTGCTTTTCATGCCCCTGCTGGGCAGTGGTCAGGATCTCTCAGGACAGCTCTCCTGCCCTTGGAAATGTTTTCACATCTACATCTCCTGGGGGCAGAAAGGATCTTGCCTTCCCTGTGCCATCCCACACAGAGGTGGGCTCACCTGTCCCAAGCCAGAGCCAGCTTTGACTGTAGCAGAGCAATAACACCAAGCAGATCACAAAGCTCTGGAGATTGGGGCTCTGCACCTGGAATCACAGATGAAAGTGTCCCACACCACAAATGATCCTGTTGGCTCACACTGCCAGTTTGTCCAGAGACAGCCATCCTCTCTGCCCTTGCTCTGGAGCTCCTACACCACCAGAGGACACCTCACTGCCATGCAACAGCTTCCTGCACCCTGTCTACACTGCTAGGTGTGAGAAATCCCAAACCAAGCACCAGCCCGTGGGGATGAGGAGCTCTGAGTGTGAGCAAGGGCAGCCCCAAGCCCTGAAGGGAGCCTGGGGCCACAAGAGGATGGGGACAAAGCCCCTGGACTGGTGGCAAAAAGCTCCTGGGTTTTTTGGGCAAGATAAGAGAAAGCACTGAGCTGGAGAGGGCAAAGAATCTTCCAGCCACACACCACAGAGAGAGGCAATCCTCCTGCATCAGCACTGCTCACAGCTTCAGGTCACAGAGGTGTGCTGAAGGAACAAGAAATTTCTCCCCCCAGCTCCTCCTTGCAAGGCTGACAATAAATAAGGAATTAAATCCCATCCTGGGAGCTGTTTTATTGAGCTACAATTCATTTTTCAGGGAGCAGCTACCCTGGCCCCTGCTGGACTCTCTTGGCATGTTGCCCTGCACAAAACCAGCTTTTCTACCACCTGCCCTGATGCTGAAAACCTCATTTCTTTGAGAGTGTGACCTTCATAGCAACACATTCCTGCCCAAAGGGTTAAAGACACAGACTGCAGAGTCCTCCATGCCAGACAGGAGAGACTAGACCATGATTTTCACTTAGCACTACCTCCCAAACTGAAGGTCTAGAGCTATTCATTGAGCAAGACAAAGAAATCTACTTCCTGGAGATCAAAAAGATTTCCTATTTCCCCAAAAGAGCCATTTCCTTCGAGGTCCCTCAGCATGCCCAAGCTGGAAAGACCTGGAAAAGCTGACCAGAGCCAATGGTGCTATGATGTGCTGGGGGAAAGAGGAGCACTCCTCAGGGCACAGAGTCCAGCTAACACAGTCCAGATCATCCTGGTCCTCCAGGAATAGCACAGGCAAGAGAGGATTTGGAGAGGAAAAATACAGAGCATACACAAAAGCATCAGCACACCCATGGCAGCTCCTCTGGAGCCCACACTGCACCCCATCCCCTCAATCCTAGGGAGGAACAGACAAATATTTAGCCATCCAGCTAAAGAGCATAATTTTCCTCAACAGCTAAAGGCACTGCCTTGCCTGGGATGTTTATGTTCAAATAAATACTCTTTAGTCTCTTCCTTCCTTCAGAGCAGAACCAGCTTTGCTCCGAGCTGCTCTAACATGCACATAAACAAGCAAAGATTTCACTGTGGCTGAGTGACAAGTAGAGCCTATTTTTGCCTATGTGTTTCTCTTGCTGCCAGGGCACCTTTTTCATCTCATTTCATGCAAGTTTTCAGGGCTGATTTCTGGAGGTATAAAGGAGAGGCTGTTGGCAGATTTGCTGAAGAAACAAGGTGTGACATGAGCTCAGCTGTACAACTCTGGTTGCTTCTTGGACCTGTGGGAACAGCTCCAGAAGGCTTTCTTTCAGCTGGAAGGGCAAATATTTCAAAGTAGATTTGGGGATAATCACAAAAAAAATCCATTCCCCTCCAAAACTGAAGCAATGCTTTAGCTACCACTAAAGGAACATGACATGGAGTTAATTGGTAAATTAGCCTTCGTTTGGTTGTAGGAATTGAGGCTGAGAACAGCTCTCCTACAGCCTTGCCCTGCCAGCTCCCACCCCTTGGGCATCATTGACACAACCCCAACTGACTGGATCAGCAAATTATTCTTACCACATATTTAAAATACAGTAACTAACCCCATGTTTGCAGTCTTAGAACTCTTTGAGCATGACCCAAGTATTGCTCAGATCTCAGAAGTCCCATGGGGATAAGGATTATCTGTACTCTCTTTTCTCCTAGGGGTAAGGCAACTTCCTGGGACATGTCCCTGTGCTGAGGTCACTCCTCTGTGAGGCTGAGGCTCACCTGGTACAGCAGCCTGGCCCTGCCCTGGGGATACCAGCTGGAGAAAGTCCTTTTTTCCACAAACTGCAGGACAGACAGTTTTCCCAGCTCAGCCCCTGGTGTGCAGCAGGAGCTGGTGGTACCCCAGTGCTTTCTCCTCAGCACAGACCAGTTTGCATCCCAAGACTGTCCCTTCCACAGGCAGCAGCTCCTCCTGTCCAGCCTTTTGCATTTGCAGAGTCCCCTGTGCTCTCAGACCTGCTGAGTCCCCATCTCCATTTTCACTCCCTATCTCTGGGTGCTTAAATCTTCATTACCAGGCAGCAGGATCCAAGCAAAAGCTCCAGCAGCCCAGCCTATGGGATGGATCATGGTAGCCAAAGCAGAACCCCAGTCCCTTGGAGGATGCTGAGCACAGCTGGTGCAGGCAGACACACAAACAGGCAGGATTTAGCACCTGGCTGTTGTGGTGCAGAGCTCAGGCCCACAGCAGTAACCTTTACAGGATCCAACACCTTTGCCAGCTGAAAAAACTTAAGTCTCCTTAACAAAATCCATTATAGCTGCAACATTATTTCATAATTTGCCAATATTTACAGGTGAGATGTGAGACAGAGCCCAGGCTGGTGACTGTTTCTGGGCATCCCACTGAGATGGCTGAGGAGGGGAGGGGACAGGCTGGGGACAGGCAGAAGGCACTGGCAGCAAAGCCCAGCTAGGAAATGTTGAGAACCACCAAACTAGATCACAGCAAACAGAATGGGAACACCACTACACACCAGTCACTACCAACAACCCTCCTACATGTACCCCCTTGCACAAAAAATTAGGCAACAAAGTCCCACGTCCTCAGGATTAAGCTAAATAAAGACAATAAGATGATTATGTAGGAACCAAACTTAATCAGGTCCTTTATTTAAGTACTATAAAATAAGATTCCAATCCCATTGGCTTCCCAGAGGCAGGTTCAGACCCCATAAAGCTCAAGGGAAAATAACAACATATATTTTAACAGGTTGATGTCACTGGTTTTTACCCTCTGAATGCAGGAGCAAAATTCCTGATTATCCACACACTCTGTGCAGTCAACAGCCATGGAAATGGCTGCATTTGCCTTTGTAAGTGCAATCTCTCACCTGTTGTCACACTGTAGAGATGAAGCTTCTAATCCCAAGTTTAGAAGCAATCTATGGATAAAATAGCAGCATCAGCACATGCATAAAAATTACAGTCTTAAAATAAAATTAAAAATTAAAGCTTTAAAAAAAACAACCCAAAAGATCAAGTATTGATCTTGTGTTCTGTAGCTTTCCTTAGGCTAAAACTCCTCCACCATTTTCCATCCTAGGCAGCTCTCCCAGTTTGGGTGGTTTGCAGGAAATCAAAGTTTAAAAGCATCAGGTATATAATTTTACGTGATGTAAGAGATGAGTGAGGAAAAGAAAAATCACTCTTAAATAGAATAAACCCAAAACCTGCCACTTGTTTCCAGCTTGAGAACAAGGTCCATGGGTGCAGCTGATGGGGTGCAATCCCAGCTCTTTGGGAAGAGCAGCCTTGGCAGATGTCCCTGGTACACTAGCTATAACAGCACATCCCCATGCTCCAGAGCTCTGTGATGTTCCAGGGCTCATTGCATGGTGTAACCTCCATTCTGTGACACTGCCCTAACTAAATCCATCACTGCAGGCAGGATTGACATGTGAAAAACTCAGGGATAAGAGGAGAAGGAAGAAAGAGAAAGAAAGGCATAGAGAGGGACAGTGTTCACAAGGAAAGCAAGATCTCATCCTCCTTTAACTGATAACCATTCTGCCATGGACTCCACAGCAGGAGCAGGACTGTGTCCTGATACACAGAAATGCTTTACCTGTGCATTAAATACAACAGTTTCCCTCGGATATAAAACCTGATTCCGATGGTTTTTTCCTGATACTTGAAACAGAGAATGCAAAAATAAACAAGAAAAAAGTCTCCAGGGCAAAGGACCCCTGAGCCAACATTTGGTTCTCTGCATTACAACCAAACCCACATTCCTCAGCCAAGACACTCAAGCCAAAGCACAAGTGGAGAGCAAGGCACACGCGGAGGAGAGCACGGACACCTTGCCCGAGGACTCGCTCTTCTCCTTAGCACTGCTCTGTCCCTCCTTCCTGGTTTTCTGGGCTGGTCCATTTTGGTGGGTTTGGTTTGGCTTTATTTTCACTTTGCAGGCCCCAGACTGGGTGATGAGGGCACACAACACCACGATGGGTACGACAGCAGCAGCACGTGCGCGACCAGCCCGCGCCAGCCGGGACCTTCAGGATGTAGCTTCGTCTTCACACACGTCAGGCAGCTCTGGGTCCCTGATTCCTTCTCTGCTCCCTTGTTTTCTACATGAATGGCAAGCAAATGAAGACATTATAGGCACAGAGAAATGCAGGAGGTGTTTTTTCCAACCCATACTGAGAGGGAATAGCAATGAACCAGCCTGTTGTGCTGGTGCCACGTAAACAGCTCAGTGATATTCCAGTGTGATGCTGCAGTGCTGTGCAACTTGTGCCTGGACACTTGCTTGGTCTCTTTGCACCCAAAACTGAGCTTTGCACTTCCCTGAAAGCACTTTTGCTGCTGCAGCACCATAAGGAGGTATATGGTTCTGGGGGAAAGTCCTGCAGACCAGCAGCAATGTTTCCAAATCATCTAGACCAGAGTGATGGTTTTATCCCATAACTGCTTCTCCAAAGCTCCACTGTAAACAGCAGGAAAACTAAATGCTTCTCCCAGAAGCCAGTTCTTCCTACACAAGGGCTGTGTCATTTCAGCTTCTGTGAGTTTGTGCAGGAAAACTAAATGCTTCTCCCAGAACCCAGTTCTTCCTACACAAGGGCTGTGTGATTTCAGCTTCTGTGAGTTTGCCTGCTCCCCAAAACAGCAGTCCCCAAAATCTGAGAGCAGCAATCACGGCCAAGGTAACTTACTTGCATTGCACACACACCATGTTACCTTCAGCCTTTCCCTCCTGCTTCTAAGTTCTGCTGTTTTCTTATGTTGAAACCTTGATCCTTGCTGCACTCTGGAGCATCCTTGAGGAGCTCCACTCAGCCCAGCCATCCACAGACAGTCAGTGACCAAGATTTGACCAGAGAAATCTGTCACTGTCCTACACTGGATGGAGAAAAGGGGACAAGGACACGTCCAAGTGCCACCCACAACATCCCACAGCTGAGACCAACAGCAGGCAGACAACTTCACCTAAAACACTCATTTCTCTATCATGAAGATATCCACAACATAAAGGAGGTTATGATACCCCAAGCATCTATGCCTCCCAGGGTGTCCAGCCTTGCTCATGCCAACCTGGTCACAGGAGAATCTGCACGGGCAAGCCAGCTTGGCAGTGGAGTGAGCACACAGTGTTTGGAGACTGTGGGTTTGGGGCTCTGAGGGTATTGCCTGGCTTGGAACAACACTGAAAGTACACACAGGTCTATACCTATTTTTGAAGAAACCAGAAATGATCAAAAATCATATTCCCTTCTCCTGCTGCTCCAGCAAAACCCTGAGATAAGCCTGACCTCGAGCCCATGGACCATCTCTCTGCAGGGGAGGCTGAGGAACAGCTCTGTCTTCAGTGCCTGTCATCAACCTCTTTAAATGACTGATCACCTCATTTAACAGCAGGGGCTCCGTTCTCAGGCACAGCACAGCTCTGCTCAGCCCAGTCAGTGCTCCCCCACCGCCCTGAGCAGCCTCTGCCTCTCTAACACCCTGTGGCAGGGTGGGAGGACCCTCACGGTGGCAAACACCAGCCAAACACCTTGGGCTGCAGGAGATCCAGGCAGTCTGTGTGGGAGCTGGGCTCATGCTGTGGGGCCTGAGGCTGAACGTGATCCTCCATGAAATAACTCTTTGGAAGAAATGAAACTGTATTTCTGCTACATTTTTTTAAGCCACAGGCAAGCAAAGCCTGACCTGTGCAATTATCCAGGAGAGCACATGGCTGTTAACCACAGCAGCTGAGGATTCCCAGCATTTCCTGCCCAGCAAGGAGTGATTCTCAGGGCAGTTCCCTCAGAAACACAGGCAGCATGGGACAGGGATGAGTGGGACAATCCATGGACACACACACACCCCTCTGCTAAGTGCTTAATTCCTCCATTGAGCCCCCACTAAACACCAACAATCTGCCCTCATCCAGGCTGCTGAAACCCCTTCCTCTCCATGACAAACGTGGCAGCAGGCACTGGCACCAGTCACTGGTGGCACCACATCAGTCCCTGTCCTCCTCCACCAGCCTTCTCCTCACTATTTCTGGAGAATCCCTGCAAGTCCTTCCTCACTCAGCAGGCAACATCCTGGCTCTGGCTCATCTATTTGTCTCGGAGTGATAAACCAGGCCAGGCAGAGTCTCCAGTGCTCTGGAGCTGCTCCCAAACGTATTGAGAGGCATGTGGTTGTCTCCTGGTCTCTCAGCCCAGCCCAGACCTTCCCAGGCCTGGCTGGAGATTGTGTCCTGCCTAAGCACTGGGTCCTGAGACTTCACACCAAGATGTTTGTAAGCAGCTTGTCATGGTTTGCATAAATGTTATTCAGTTATTTAACAGGATGAATTGGGCTGATCACTTCCTGGGAGGGTCTGTGCAAGGGGTTTGACAAATGACCATGTTTTGATGAAGTCCTGGCTGAGATGAGGTCAGTGGTTGCATGGAGCAACCAATTCCAGTCAGCCCAGAGCCTCTCAGTGCTGCACCAGAGGCAGAAGCACATGGGAGTGGTGTAGTGGCTGGAGCAGACATGGCTCTGCCTCTTTTCTTTTACATAACCACTAAATATTAAACCTGAACCCAAATGACAAAGCTCAGCCTTTCCCAAATTCTGCAGCTATTCCCTCTGCAAACGTGGGGCCGAGCACCAGTTCCTGCTAAAACCCAATTGGCTTTTTTCATCCCTCCCTCCCTCTCCAAAAAGCAGTTGAAATGCCAAAGAACCACAAATAATAATAATTAAAAGAGGCAAACATAAACATTAGTGTCACACACAGAGAATGACTGCAGTAAAACTGCTCCTACAGGAAGGAAGGATGGAGCCAAATGCTCTCACTACCACACAAATCACACAGGCTGAGGAGAAGACACAGGTTTCTACAGCACCCAGGGGAAACACAGACATGGAATTACCTTAAAGATGGATGCAAATATACAGATGAGTTTAAGAGGAATCTGTCCCTGAGAGCAAAACAATGAGACAAAGGAAGAAAGTGATCATGAAGATGATGGCAGCAGGTGAAGGAGCTTGTATTTCTGTGCCTAACCAGCCTAGAGAGCAGAGTGGAATGAAGGATGGAGCATCAGCCACATTTACTTGCAGCCTGAAGGGCAGATGAGGATGGGCATTGGTACAAACCCACTCCAAACCCTACCACTGCTGGAAGCTCCAGGTGGCTTCCAGCACACTGCTGATGCCCAGCTGTGCCTCTCTGGGCTATGAAATTGAGTCTATCACCACCATGTGCAATGGGGCAGAGCCACACAAGCACAGGGTCCCTCACTGGAGGCTCCTGCTGATGGTGGGTCCTTGCCAGAGGAAAATCCTGTGCCACAGCCAGTGCCTTGGACCTGTGAGAATACCTACCTGTAACCTGCAAGTGGGGCATGGCTCTTCCCAAGAGACATACAGCTCTCTGCAGTGAAAACTGATAAGAATTTTGGTGGGGTTTGACTCTGTACTGACAAAATCTATGTGGTACCTATCCAACATCTCCGTGGGACTGGAGAGACAATCTATGTGGTACCTATCCAACATCTCTGTGGGACTGGAGAGAGAAGACAGTGAGCACTATCGAAGACCAAGGGAGCATCTTTAGTGGAAACATCTGGCAAATTTAAACCCAGCCTGCAGCTGTTCCCGTGTCCAATCTGATACTGTAAACTTGGCTGCCCCTGGGGGATCTCTGTAGCCTATTTTTGAGCAGCCCCATGGCACTGAGCCCTGGAACTTTCTCAGCACAAAGTCCCTGCAAGGCAGGTACCTCTGGGCTGCTTTGGGAGAAGCTGTTTCTGCTTGGAGACCTGGGTCAGACACTTTCTACATCCTTTTCCCCCTTGGCTTCCTCATGCCTAACCTACATGGATAATATGGCCCCATGGGCAGTGACAGCTCTTTTGGTCTCTTTTTGGGAAGGCTGGAAGCAGGGTAGGTTTTCTCAATACCAACTGATCCCCCATAGAGGAACTGACAACCACATTTCATCCATAGTAACAGCAGCCATAATGGGAAAGTAAATTGGGACTGTCAAAACACAGCAATTAATTTGATAGGTAGTAGTTGCAATAAATGAGAGCAATAAAATGTGGTGAAGCCAGTGCTGATTCAATTAGGAGAAATTTGGAGCAGGCACAAGAATTGCAGCAAAGACTGCTAAGTGAACCCCAGAACTTAGCTGTGACCACTGCACAGTTAAGCTTAAAAAATACTCTGAAACTGGAAAATTAGAAATGATCAGTTGCTCCTGCATCCACTGCTAATGATGGGCTTCAGCCTGGCCAGAGTCTGCAGGATCCACAAGATGCCATGAATCACTTCCTCTGCTGGGAGATCCTGCATGAAAGGCAGGATCCAGGGACACCTGGATACCACCCAGCTGACAGGGTGAGGTGACAGCTGGCAGCACTCACACACCATTCTGGGTGTGCAAAAACAAGAACTGCTAAGTGGGGCATCTTTGTTTTACTTCCCCTCCACCTGCTGGGTGTTCCTGCACTTAACAGGCACTAACTGCCTTTTAAACTGTTAAGTGCTGATAAACAGAGCAATAAATAACAGCCAGGAGAGGATTTGCTTCTTCCAGGTCTAAGGAGAGCTAAAACCCCCTCTCTCCTCCGGTGTTAACTCAAGAACTATCAAATCACTGGTATCTTAATGGTGTCCTCCAAAGGCACCAAGGCTACAAACATGAAACACCTCCTGCTATTGCAGATGTCTGCAGGAAACATTTCCAGGAGCAGAGCCCAGCACACTGTGTAGAGAATGCAGAGAGAATATTAGATTCAGCCACATGATTTAGTTTCCTCCTCTCCAAATCCCAAACAGTGAGCCTGAAGGACAGCTCCATTTTAAGACTCATCAATTAGGCATCAAATACCAGAGAGCAGGCTCAGCTGCCAGAGGATTTCCTGCAAAATATATTCTCAGAGCGGGCACAGATGTAAGATGCTTGAAGCAGCAGTGACTGTGGCTCTGGCAATTTCACATGCAGCCTAATTAGATAAATTGAATGCGAAACTGGAGTTTTCTAATTGCTTTTTTTTTTTCCCCTCCATAAAAACACAACAACTTATTTCCTACCTATAACTAGAAGGAGATGCAATATTACTGAAGCTGATTTAGCTCTCTCTGATGACACTGCCATGGGGGAGGAGCAGCAATGTGGTGGAGAGCTTGGGATGTGTGGCTCATTTTTCTCTCAGCTCCTCATGAGCAACCACATGTCCAGAGAGCAGTGATGGCTGCAGGCACTGCTCTGCTGGCAAGTCCCACTTTTGGGGTCCCCTGTCCAGCTACAAGGGTGCTGCACATGCAGAAACTCTGCAGAGCATTACTACAACAATATTATCTGTTCCTACTGTGTCCTAAAAGTTTAGAGCAATCCAGACTCACTTGAAACTTATTTGAACTAGCACAGTGCTATTCATAACATTGGCACTGATGTTACACTTTGTATCTGCATTAAGGGTGTATTTCCAGGAAACAACCCACTGTGAATTAAGAACTGGATGAGCTTAGTGTCTACTCTGTTTGCCCCTGTGGAAATAGTTCTGTAACCAAGAGATAACTCACTGAACAATGAACATTCCCATTTAGCCTCGGTTCACTTAAAACTGGTGTCATTAGATTCAACACATCTATTTACATTTGAAGTAATTTTCATTAGATTCAACCAGTACAGCATTTTCCAAAGTCTGAAATAATAATCCACATTCCTTAAAAGGAGCATCCCTGCTGCAGTGTTTAATACACAACATTTTGTTGAAGAGACTTAGCCAATGTCTTTCTTTTAAACTGAACAGTTTCAAGATGGGTTCTCAAAGCTCCAGTTGTGCATGAATTAATTTAGGATAAAGTCAATTACTACTGCCAAAAATTGGAACTGATGGCATGAGACTGAGAAATTAAGCAGGGGATTAGTGGAGAATTGGCATGTTCAGAGGCCATTCACATTAAATTTGGGCATTTCTAAGCACTGACACTGCTGGGCAGAGTCCATCCCAGCAGAGCCACAGCTCCATCCCTGGCCTGTTTCTGCAAACCAAGGGCACTGAGCACAGCTGCACAACAGTGGAAATTATACACTGCTTTAAAAAAAACCCTGGAGCCTGAATAAAACACAGGGCTGAAATGAGCAGAGACAGGGAAAGGCTGGAATAATATGAGAAGAATTGGACTAGCAACTTTAGAAAGGAGACAAATAAAAGTGGAGGGTTACAGCTCATCTTGAAGGCCTAAAATGATTATTAAAAGGATTAGACATTGATAATGTGGCTAATCAGAAACTTCATAGCTACATGAGATCAAATGAACTCTACTTATTCCAAGAATGCAGAGAAGCACTCAGCTCCAGTAGTAAAGCACTCAGCTCCAGGCAGGAACAAGCCACAGTATCAAGAGTCAAGGAGCTTTTCCACCAGCTGGGCATGAGCTTCCAAACATCTCCAATAAAGGTGGAAGGGAACAGGTCCCTTTTGGAAACAGGCTCAAGGTGACTACCTTGAGATACCAGTTCAAGCAGGGTTTGAAAAGAAAAAATCCTGCCTTGCTCCCAGGAGCTGTCTGAGACAGTGGGAAGCATATGATATGTTTTTCCTCACAGTTAGTAAGAATTTCCCCATCTCAGAGCAATGGCATGCAGTGACCAGGAATGATAGTGAAGATATGGGTAGGGATGTGTGTCTAATTACCAATAACTAATTTGGAAGGCAATGAGCCAAGGGAAATAAATGAGGACAAATCTCTTGTGCTAAGCTGGCAAAGGAGCTGTGACTGCCATGCTCCAGATATGCCCCACAGCAGTACTTGTGTGCAGGGAGTTAAATGCTAAACTGGTGTCTGGCCCTGGACTCCAAGGCAAAGTCTTTGCTGAAGTCTCTAATACACAGCTGGAACCTAAAGTATTATCATCCTTAATTGAGCTGAGCTCTCAAATCCCCACACACCTGTGAGAGACAGAGAGAGACTCCTCTAATGTATTGTCAGTGGTGTAGTGAGACTCTTAGCACACCCTCATGGGAGTCTGCTAGGCATGGTACTGGGATTTTGGGTGGGAAAGGATTGTTTTGGGACAGCACAGCTTTGTGGTGAAGCATAGCCTAACAGATCTTGTGGGGTGAAAACTTGATTTATATTAAAACAATTGGCCCAGATCAGGCTAATGGTCCAGCTATGACTTACTGGACCAATGACCCAGAATCCTGGCTCTGAAAGGAATCAGTAATAAAAATGAGAGAGAAAGAACAAGAGCCAAGTAAAGGGCAGCAGAATTCTTCCCTCATCCCTGTACATATAGACCAGCATGTTTAAAAACAGTTGATGCATCTATTAGTCATTAATTTGTCTCTTCCCTTTATAATCCCAATATAGCCATTTTTACCCAGTCTCCAAAATATCCCTTGCAATGTGTTTCACTATTTAATAACTGGCAGCGTGAAAAAAATACTCCATGTGTTCTCAAAGCAATTTCAAAGTGTTCTCCTTTGTCTGCCCACGTGTCTCTGCCCAGACTTGGGTCCAAGACCACAAACAAACCAACATCATCTTCAAAAAATATACAAACCTCTCATCTGGTACCTTTTCCATAAAAATGTGCATAAAAATGAGAGAAGAATTAAACTCTCCAATATGTATCTATACTGTGTCTCTGTATCTCTAATTAAACTTCACCAATCTCTAATGGATCTTTGATTATAAACTAATAGGTGAGAAAACAAACTCAGATTTAGCACCTTCCATATGTTTAGGCCAAAACTATCTTACAGAGAGAGATATATCTATAAAAGAGATTTTTTGGCTGCATTAATGTATTATATTTCAATCTGAGAGGACTTGAGGTAGATTTTTTTCAGTGTTTGATTTAAAAGGGTGTTTTGTCCCTAAATGATACAGAAAAGATTTGCAAACTGCTTCCTCCATCCTCCCCACACACCTTTGCCCTGCCCATGCAGCAGAGCCAGGCAAGGCTATAGATACATACATCAGCAAGTTCCCTGGGGCAGACATGGATCTCTCCTCCCTCCTTGCCTGGACCTCGAAGGGATTTCCAAAGGAGCGTTTTCTTAGCATGGCCTTCACTAGGATCTTTGAGGAAGAAAAAACAGACCAGTGAAAACAGCAGGACTGACTCCTTGAAGCTAGTTCAAAGGAATAACAGCTTCTTTAATCATTCAACAGACACTTAACAGCATTAGAGCTAAGAACATGAAGTAAAGAAACCCACAGAACAGCTACTTGAACAGAGAGCCAGGCTGCTGCAGTACTCAGTCACAAGGAGTTCACACTAGGTCAAAAGGCCAAGCTTTTCATACCAGGAGCACATGTGTGCCCTCTCCAAACCCCTTCACCAGCTGAAAGTCTCAGCAAAGCCCCACACTCTTGACCTGTGCAGAGGATGTGGTTTGTACATACCACAGCTGGCAAACTGGGGATTGTCTTCACTGAGTTCTTCACCTCCTCCTCAGTCACCTCCACCACTGTACAGTGCTCCTCCTCCAGGGGCAGGGGCTCCTCTCCACCCTTGGTCAGCCACGGGTGCACCTGTGTGGGGAGGAACAGGCACAGCTGTGGCTTTGCCTTCTGCAGCACTGTGATGTCAAGGATGGGGGAGAAATGGGGGCACAGGGTTGATCACAGGGGTGAGCTGTACTGCTCCATTTTCCACTTCCAGAGAGGTTTTTCAACCAGCTTCCTTGGAAATCACTGCAATCTGGTGCCTGGACAGATGGTAGCCCCTAACCCCCAGTGCTGTCACACCCACTGGCACCAACTGGTAGGTTGGTGGAACTCAGCACCCTCTGAATCAAGCTTGAAATGCTTTGAAAACCTGAGTTATCCAAGGCATTTTCATCTTGTTCTCTCACATGCAGCAGAGGAAAACCCTCCTTTTCCTGCAGCCTCTCATGGGATGGTTTTCTTGGCTGGGAACATGAGGAAAGCTCTGTGGAAGGGCCTGGGCTCAGCCTGGCACCGGAGACACGTGCTCTGTCAGATCCAAGGCAACTCCCCAAGCACACCAAGTACCTTCAGTGCACAGCAGGGACAAGAGCCAGCACCCAGCTCTGCTCTTGTACCCAAGGGGTCTTACAGGGTGCACAAGAAGTGCCTGCAAGGGCTGTCAAGTGAAGTCCCATAAATACAGCTCCAAACCATCACTGGCTGTGGCCTTCTGGGCATGGAGGGAAGAGATGTCAATTTTTTCTTGGAGCTCAACCTTTCTACTGTCAGCCTTGGTGGGAAATGTGTTGATGTTGGCCTGAGACAATGCAAGGAAGAGTTGTGTGCCCTGCAGAGGATCCTGATGGATCTCTTTGGAAATCTTGAGATGCTCCAGCAGGTCTCAGGCCTCAGTGAGGGGTGACAGGAGGACAGCAAGTCCACACAAAGCCAGAATGAAACCAAACCCTGTGAAGCATTGTGCTCTACCATTCATGCCTTCTATTAATAAGCATCTCCCCAGTAACAGACAGAAACAAAAGTGCTGCCTTGAGGCCACTGACCACACAAGCACCAGGAGGAACACACTTCCAGCTCCCCTACCACACACCCAACCCAGCCAGCACAGGCTCTGCAGCTAGCAGTTCCCCTGACAATGTTGATTCTCCCAGGGATTCACTGAGATCAGCCAGCTTTTGAGCAATTTTCATTTAAATAAGTAAACAAGAAAGCTTTTGTCAATATTCCCCAAGCAAGAAGCAGCGACAGAGCTGCTGCACGCTGAGAAATGAGCACTCTCCCTTTCCAAGGCTGCATGTCAGAGAAAGCTCCCAAAACAAACACTAGGAACAGCTCTGCCTCATTAGAATGTACCACAGGAACAACAAACTCAGCTGGAGACAAAAAGTATAATATCAAGGTCCAATTTACCTTAATTTCAGGGACTGTTATCCTTGTTTCTGGATTTTTGTCGAGCATGCGCAGCATCAGTTCCTTCAGCTCATCACTTATCTGTGCTCTGAGTGAACAAAACAGCAGCATACAGTCAGCAAGGGAATTGTAAGTGCTCAAGGCATGCACAGTTCTTACTGCGGTTACTTGGTGGAAAATCTGCTCCACTCAGAAGATATTTTCTCTGCAAGCCCAGCTTGAGAAAGGAAGGTCTAGCTGGCTTGGTTCCTTCTTGAGCACCACTGCTACAGGTGGTGAGCCACACAGGTCACTGCAGCAGGGCTTGGTTATCCTGTTCTGCACACTAACACAACTCAAAATGCAAGACAAGGGAGCAGGTGAATGGCTGTGAGGACGTTTCAAAGGCAGCACACCACAGGGGAATTTCAGAGGGCAGATTCTGGGACAACAAAGAGCCACTGTGAGCAGAACTGGAGATGAACTCCATGATTCAAGAGGGGTACAGCCTGATTTACTGAACCTGTATCATGAGCAACTGTGTGCTGGATGAAACCCCTCCAGATGACACTCAACTTCTCAGCTAAGCTTGTGGGTTGTGTTCATTAAATTGCTTCCACAGACACTGATGGCAGCCAGCTGGTAACTCAGGATTTCCTACCTGCACAGCTCAGCCTTGGGGTAACAAAGGGAGGGAATGAAAAGATGTGACTAAGAGAAATACATCTCGTTTTTAACACTATTTCCTAGATTTAAGTGCTAGAGTGCCTGAACCCAAAAGCCATTCTATTCACACAGAGCCCTTGGTCCTGCAGTCTGTCCCTCCAGCCCAAAGGCTGCAATGCCTCCTGTGGTTAATGATGCAGGCAACGTCTTTGAACCACACTGGATCTGGATGATCAAAGTGCTGCTGCAGTGAAATGCCAGCATGTGACAGAATTGCATTAGGCAGTTGAAAGCCTGTGTCACAAACGATTCTTGAAGACCTGTGTTTCTGCACAGAGATGGAATTTGGCACCATAAAACGTCACTCCCCAGCAGGGCTGGATTGGAGATTGAAAACAGTGGTGAGGACCAGGTGCTGTGCCCACCTCTTCTGCACCCCCCCAAGCAGAGAAGGGGATAAACCATCACAAACCAAAATGAAAACCACATCAGTGAGGGATATTTTAGTCTGATGAAAACAGAGCTACTGGTTAATAATACATGAATGCTTTATGTGGACTTTGGTTATGGGACCTTTATGAACAACCACAAGGAAACATTGGTCACTCAGTGGGAAGGGGCAGAAAGTGGGTTCAGTATAAAGTCTAAACACTTTCAAGAGTTGCACCAAGGGTCTGCTGCACACAGGCAATATAGCCCAGACAAGGGGAATGATAGGATGAGTCCTCAGGGACTCAGATGACAATTTAGGGGGGAATGGGAAGGATGGTGCTGCTCTTGAGATAAGCTCCAGGCACAGTGATGGGCAGTGACTTAGCAGGTCAGAATACAGACTCCTCCCAGAGACCACACTACTGCAGGTGAGATGGTGTTCTTAAAATACTTCAAATCAGTTCAGTGCCAAGCTGTCAACAGCTTTGTTTAAATATAAGAAATAGATTATATCATCACCTAACATTTCTGGGCACCAGATTGATTTCTACACACCACAGCATTAATGTCAAAAGGAAAAGCCCCATAAGCAGGATCACAAAGTGTCTCTCAGGTGGGTTGTGGCTGGGTAAGAGATCACATTTCCCTTCTCTCCAGCCTGCCAGGGTACAGTGCATGCTGTACCTGATGGCATTTTTCATTTGAAAAGCCTATGTTATCTGGAATTTCTCAGTCATAGTCCTGTAACAGCTCTCAGGAAAATGCCAAGCACCAGAGCTCAGCACCCCTTTGGGAGAGCTGCCAGCACCACAGATCACTTTACAGGTTGTCTGCAGGTCAGAGAACATTGTCCTGGACTTCACCAGGAGGGACTGTGCAAAGCTTCTGATTCTCTTAAAGACAGGTCTGAACAGAAACTGCTCCAGCTTTGCTTTTTAGTCGTGCCAAGATCGTCAGGGTGTGAGCTAATCCCATTTACCTCGTGTCATGCCAAGGGCTCAGTGACATGAATGAGAACTCCAGTGTGATAAATATTTATCCCAGTGTCTCTAAGGGAAGGGACAGGAGGTGACGCCGGTACAGTCAGCTCCATCTGTCCTAAATGTTGTCAGGAAACAGGCAATGAGTTTCCATGAGCTGTCTGCAAACAGGAATGTGTCTTCTGTAGCCATGGTGAAATAAATTGAAACCAAAATACTCCTAACTATAGAGAGGTGCTAATTCCGTGGGAGGTCAGGGTGGATCCACTCCAGTGAATTCCAGCTTTCTGTGTGTCTCTGTTGCTGCCTTTATCTAGCAAACAGACATGGTTTGGACAGCTGTCAACACCCAGTAACCCTCTGCTCCTCCAACAACCTAAGCAGGGGCGCAGCTTTTTTTAGACTGGGAGAGCAGGTCACCCAGGAATCCACATAAATCATGCAGCCCAATTATTGCTGAAGGAAATGCCTGAATGAAGGAAAGGATCTTAGCACAACCCAGTTAGCCCATTAAATGTTAATAACTTACTGCAGGGGCAGATGGGAACAGTCACTTGTGAGCTGACTGCTAACCCAAATACATGGTGGCTGATAGAGGGTGGGCACTTAGCCAGGACCCAAGCAAACAGGGAGAAACTGCCAGGGAAACATAAACATTTATTCTTTTTGCTGCAGAGCTGTAAGACAAAGTTCTGCCCTGGCCACAGAGCAACCAGTGGGAACATGGCACTGGAGCATGCCCAGCCTTTGTGCTCTTAATGCCTGAAGCCTGGCCAGCTGTGAAGCCTCATCAGCACAGGGCTGGTCTGCCAGAATTACTCCATACCCATGACTGAGGTCTGTGTGTGCCATCTAATGAGTGGCCAGACCTTGTGGCCCAGGCCCTAGGAGGAGTTCTGCACAGAATCCTCAGCGTGGGCTCCACCAGCCCGGGCAGAGATGGCTCTGGCTGAGCTCTCTGCAGTGCTTGTGCTTCCCTGTCAATGCAGAGGTAATGAATGCAGCTCGTGGAGCCTGGGGCATGAGTCATCCCATCTGAGGCAGATGTCTAAAATAGGGCAGCCTGAGCACCCATGGCTTTCTGCAGACTCAGAAGGAAGCCTGGGACTGCCAGGGCAGAGGCTCAGCCCTTTGCTTTTAGTGTGAAAATTCACAGAGCATCTCACAAAATTCATGCAATAGATGGTAGATATAGGCACATATCATGGGCTGCCTGACAACATCTTTCCCTTCCTCTCTAATATCAGATGTGCCTTGCATTAAAGATTTAGTTCCTTTGTGATTCTTTTAAATCAAGTCATTTTATCTCTCTGTTTTTATTAGAATGAGCAATTGTGTTAAGAAGGTAAAAAATGCTTTGCCTGACTACTGTGTTGATTTGGGAAGGAAAACAAAGAGTCCAGATTTGGCTACTTCATCTGACAGGAACCAGAAGAAACAACTAAATCACAGAAAGACACCAGAGGCCTGAAGATGGAGGAAATGCCAAGAAGTGGCCAACACTTGAAGATCCAGGCATGGTGACCACTGAGGTAGAGATGCACAACCATCCTTCCATCAGACACTTCCCCCAGCTCCAGGTAAGTCCACAGAAGTGGGATGTGCTTACTTAGACCTAGACCAGGGTCTATAACCACATTACTTTTGAAAATGAATACACTGAGTCATTGTAGTGGCTGCCACATGTCACACATGTCACACATGTTTGTCACACAAACCCCCAATCAAACCATGCATCCAGTATATCCAGGGTCAAGCAGCTGGGGCAGAACTTCCTCGACCGAGACAGAAATCTCTTTACTTCCAAAGATCTCCAGAACTATTTCTTTTAGTATCTGCACAGCATGGATAGAGGAACAGCAGAGGCACTTGTAATGCCTCAACATCACCACCAGCACAAACCCCATGTGAAGTACCCAGAACACAGCACCTCACCCACCTGTGTCTGTCCCTCCATGGCATTTGTGCTGCACGGTGAATAATGCTGAAAACTGAACTTTATTTTACAGTAGCAGAGTAAAGTTTACTCACTCTTCTGGGAACTCCACAGGCTTGGTCTTGATCCTGTTATGAAGACCCAGAATATATTCATCTATAAAAGGGCACTGTAAAACAAACAAGAGATTTTCCAGTTGTCAGAGATCCTGGCACCACTCAGGCATTTGTCATTCATGTAACAGTAATACACTCTGCACTCCCTCAATTTTACACAGAGATGGAAATAAAGAAAATCTCCCTACACACAGTAAATTGATTTGTTCCTTATTAAAAAATAAATGCAGAAGAACAGTAGAAGGATCTAGGAAAGAAATAACCTTCCATCTAGCCTGCCTGGTGATGCCTCTGCCATCTTCCCTGGCTACTTCTTACCCCTGAGCTGGATGCTTGATGCCTGTGGTGGGATTTGCAGCAGTCTGCTTGGACAGGAGGTTCAGGTAACACACCTGCTGTACTGCTCACCCTGGGAGAGTGTGGGTGGGATAAGGGGCTTCTAGCCACAGGCAAAGGAAAAGCCATGACAGGACATGGAGCTTGCAGAAGGCAGCACTGAAGAGCTGGCTCTGCCAAAGTGGACCCCATCTGATCCAACTTAGTTTTGGCAGACAGAGTCTTCTATAATCTGCTTTCCTAAAGTGCTGCAGTAGCTTGGGATCAATTCCCATGCCTCCCTCCATGCTCTGTCTGGCTCATTTCTAAATACAAGCAGTGTGGAAAATCCCCCAACAAGCTGTTGTTGATGCTACTGATGCTGCTCTGGGTTTGTAGCATGACCAACAGCTCTGCATACAGGGATCAACTCTGGAAACAATCCTATCCAGGGACTACAGCCTCTGCATACAGGGATCAACTCTGGAAAAAATCCTTTCCAGGGACTACAGTGTCAGTCCCTCTCATCCACAGGGGGATTTGGGAGCAGAAGGTAGGTCCTTGTTTCCAATTTTGCCTTTATTTGGAAAGGAACAAGTCAAAAGGCAGGCAGACAGACACTCCCACGCAGGGCTCCAGCAGCTGAAAGGCAGCTTACCTTCCCGTAAACAAAGCAGTACAGGGTGATTCCCATGGCCCATACATCAAGTGCCTGAAAGAAAGCATGTACAGGCAGTCAAGGAGATGAAACACAGATGATCTGAATGAGCTGCACTTTCCTACAGATTCAAAGAACATTATTTGTATGCATTTAACATCTTCTATTTCACTGTGCAGGGTCTCTTTGAAGTTGGGCTCCTAGAAGCACCTGAGGAATGAGGACTTGCTGGGCCAGGCATTGCACCCTGGTCCTTGCTGTGGAGCTCTGTGAGCAACAAGCAGCCCCTTCTTCTTACAGTCCATTACACCATTCAGAGCTGAACCTCAAAGTCTTCCAGGCAAAAAAAATCCCTATTAGACCCTATCCCCACATCTGCATTATCACCCTTGGCTGTGCTTTCCAGGGAATCAAGACATGACCTTGGTGCCCAGCAGCCCCCTGTGCCTCTTGATTGCTTTGGAAGGGAATCAAGAGCTTCCTCCTTTCCCTATGGACAGAGCTCCTGCCTGGGCAGGGATCCACAGCAAAGTGTCTGCCTGCTGCAGAACAACCAATGTGAGTTTTGCCTGGACTGAAAACAGAGCTTCAGTTTTACTAAATAACAACCCTAATTTACCCCACAATCCAGGATGGACAAGATGCAGATATGCAGGTGTGGTGCTGCCCTTTGTGCCATGCCTGGGTGTCCCAGGAGACACAAGCTGTGAGCAAAGACCTACCTTTCCACTGAAGCTTTTGCCAGTCTGTGAGATGGCCTCTGGTGCCATGAAGGCTGGTGTCCCTGCTGTGCTGGAGAGCTGAGCATCATTCCCTTCAAACTGGTTGCTGACTCCAAAGTCAGCTATTTTGACATGTCCATCATCTCCTAAGAGCAAGTTGGAAGGTTTGATGTCTCGGTGAATGATCTTCTGGTAGTGCACTGAAAAACAACCAAAAACAGGAGCATGGTCTGCCAGGGCAGCCAACACACCCAGGGGAAACCTTCCCAGGAGGATGAAGGTGCAAGTTCAGGCATCCCATTCCAAGCTGCTGCTGGAGATGCAAAACAAGTGCCATTTCCTCCAGCCATTCCTTTTGGTGCCTCACTGGGATATGCACTGGAACACAACCCTCAGAAATACATCTGTCACCAGGAATTAAGCAAAGAACAGACATGAATCCAGAAAAAGCTCAACCAGTGGGACCAAGCAGAGCTGCTGGAGAGGGACACGAGGGGAAATACTCCAAGTCTTCACTGCCCTTCCCAGGGCACCAGGACCCCTCATTCTCCCTCCTCCCCTGGCCCCAATCACTGTTTTCACATTTCCTTCTTGCAATTGGAGCATGTTTGTTTTTATACCTCCCCATGAGCAGTTTTCATATCTCTTAGGAAATACACAATTGGGTAGAGGAAAATGCTGGTCTAACCCTTTCCTGCTTTACAAACCTGGTCAATACAGTGCCACAAAGGCAGCCTGTCCTATGGAGCATCCTGGTTTGTGCTTTAGGACCAAGAATGAACAAACTTCACTGAACTTTCTGCTCTTTTCAAGACAACTTTCCAGCAACTCACACTTGGGGAGGGAAAATCACACTTGGAGGTATTTTTTCCTGCAAGGACTTCTCTTAGTTTAAAGCATAGTCAGGGGATGCTGTCCTTGGCATATTAAAGAGTGGCTCTAGAGACCCAGCAGACAAAAACGTGCTGGAAATCACCAGCACTTACATCCTCTTCCAGATGTGCAGCAACTGCTTGTCCAGGCTGTGATGTGAGCCAGTGAATGCTGTAACAGCCCAGCTAGACAGCTAGGATAAACACTGAAACCCTGCAACAACAGTAATTAGGAGGAGACATCTGCTCAGCAGCAAAGCTGGTAGCAAGCTGACATTTCATTATGGTAATATAGGGAGAGCAAAAACAAGTGAGGGGGGAGTGAAGTTTTCCTACAAGAGATGATAAGCTGCCTTTTGGCAGGTGTCTGGTGTCATACCTGATACCACAGGGTATTCCCAAACCCTCTGAAAACAAAAATAGAGGCCACAAATATACATGGGCTATGCAAGTACATCCCAGAGCTGGGTCTGTGAAAACTGAAGGAATTACACTAGGCAAACAGGTATTCCAGGCTTTTTACTATTGCTTCCATAAAGAAGGGGAAAAAAAACTCCAACCAAAATAAAACCACAAACCACTTCCCATAGAATACTAACTATTTATTTAGTAAAATACATTCCCTCTCCCTGCACAGTCTAATGAAAGTTGAGGAACACTCTGGGCAGTTTGCCAGCTGCCCTGTGCTTGCTCAGTGCCTGTCTCTGCTGGTACCCAGCAGCTCTGGGAACTGCTGGCTGTCAGGCACAGGAGCAGTATCAGTGTTGAACAAAGAAATAAGGAACATATCCTCTGCAAAAATCAAAGCCATCAAACAATGGCTTATTTGGTCATTTGGAATATTTGTGCTTCCCAGACCAGAATATCCACATGCTTGACACAAATGTTGAGGACAGCGACTGATTGACCTCAGGTGCTCAGAGGAGAAAGTCAGTACAGGTACCTGTGGGGCAGAGGAGCTCTCAGGAGTGAACCTGACACATCCCAGGGCTCTGCAATGCCATGTCCCAGGAGCTTCTCCACACGTGACACCCAGTTTAAATAATAAACTGGGATGGGAAGAGGATGGGCACAGAGGGGAAGTGGCTGGGCAGGTCCAGAGTGGCAGTGATGGGAGCAGTGTCCAACCCACACATTGTGCTGCTTTGGGTGACAGTAATGGAAGTCTTGTGCCAGCTGGCTCAAAAGACTTCTGCTATCTGCAAATCTCTTCCCTATTCAGCTGCCTTGTGCATAGGCAATAGCCAGGAAGGGAGAAGGATGGGGAACAGGGATTGTTCACCAACACCAGCTGGTGTAAATGAACATCACAGCTACAAAAACTGTAAGAGCAAATGCTCATATCTGCCAAGAAATGATTTGGTGTGTAGCTGCTAACCTGATGAAGGCAACCTGAAATCCCTGTTCTGCTCTGAAGAATCACAATTCAGAAAGTCACAGTCTGTCTGCCTGCACAGCTATCCAAAATGGGCTTCAGGCTTCAAAATGCACAGGTTTATCCTCTCCTGTGCTGTACCTTGTCACTGGTACAGCTCAGTACAACACAGGGCTGCAGGAAGAAGAGTAAAAGATTCCCCCAGAATCATTCCCCAGTCCATTTGTAGGCAAGAGACAAAACCTGCCTTGTTTGAAAGCTGCAGGAAGGGAGAAAGACTGCACTGCTCAACCACAGGACACCAACACAACTAAGCTCAGAAACTGTCCAACCCACCAGCTTTTGCTGCAAGTCCAGGCATCTTGCAGATATACATTGCAGGGAAAAGGGCAGGGAGTAGTTAATTCCACAGGGCTGGCCAAAGACTGCCTGGCCAAGTGGCAGGACATGCCCACAGTGAGACACAGCACTGCCACACGCTGCGAAAAGAGCCCTGAGACAGAGCTGTCCTGTGGGAAAGGTACTTGTTAAATCAGCATGATCTGCATTTCCAGCACAAGACAGAGGAAAAGATGGTGTTACCCCTGCAGAACTGCAGAGGGAGAGTTAAGCATCTCAGAAATAAAAGCCTCCTATTAATGACATCCTCCAGATTGGTAATGACTATACAGAAGGGACAACAGCACAAGGAGCACACAACCCACAGAGCCACCCCAAGGTGACCCTGCTCCATCACTGCTCCTCAGCAAAGCCCTGCTGAGCACATCATTCCTGTTCAGTCCCTCAGCTGCCTTTGGTGGGACAAGACAGCTTTTTTGCAATGTACAACCCATTTCACAACTGCTCCTTTTTTCTAGATCCCACAGGCCATTCTAAGACCAAACAAACTTTCCTTTTCACTCAGAGGCAAACACCTGGGAACTGCCTGCCTACAACTCCACTGCCTAACAGGCAGTGAAGGCCCAGAGGGGGCAGAGATAGAAGTGCTAGAAAGAAATATTGTTCCTTAGTCCTTTTAAAAAAAAGTACTTTTCACTGCATTCCCCTCTGGAAACCTTGGAGCTGCAGCAGGTCAACACCAACTTGCTAGAAGCTCATTTAAAAATTATACACATAAAACTTTGCAATGCACTGACACATCCTGTTATTTACTGAGGCCAATGCTGAATTTTACTTGATTAAAACCAGAATCCAACTCCCATTCAAGGGCAAAAGCAATCCATATGGTGCTACTGCAGAGTCTGCTTAGTATTACTCTCACATCACCCCAGTAGCAAAGAAATGATTTAACACCCTCCCAAGGAACCTGCTGCACCACCATCCAGAGCTCAAACCAGAAGGCTGCTCTTTGAAGCAAACCTCTGTACTCATACACAGTGCTCTGCTGAGAAAGAGAGGACAGGGAGGTCGTGGGCAGTGCAAAGGGAACACCCTCCCTCCCACACTCAGCTCACTGCAGGGCTGGGTGCAGTGCCAGGGTGAGGATCCCAGCTCTGATGTTCTCAGCTCTGTTCACTATTTTGCCACTCTCTTGCTGCACCCATCAAGCCTCTGCCACCTGGATATGTTGCTTAAGCCCAGGTTTTACAAAGGGGGATCCCAACACCCAGTACAACCCAGCCCTTTGGAAAAGCTCAGCTTCCCTTTGTGCTTCTAGCTGACCATGGTGTTCCTGGCAGAAGTACCAGGTATGGAATACTGCCAGTAGGAAGCAACGGGGAAGAGGAAGGAAAGAAACCTTGCCAAAGGCTGTCCTTGTGCACCTGTCCTCCAACCTATATGAGCACACCACATATCACCAGTCTCAGGGGACATGCAGAGCTTCCTGCCACGGCTGCACACATGCCAATGTCCAAGGAACCATGGGGATAGTGGAGAGCAGGGTACGTGCAGCAAGTCCTGCCAAAACAACCTGCACAGTCTGTGCCATGGGCTGCTTCTAACCCCAAGCACAATCACATAACTGCATCAAACAACAACAAAAATCAAAGTGCCTGATCTCTCTTGAGAGGCTCCAGCACATGTCTCTGATCTGCTCCATCAGCTAATTACTCTCATTCTCGTACAAAGTCCTTATCGATTGGTATCAGCAACACTTGCAGCTCATGAAAGGGGTTTTTGTTTGGTTTTTATCATCTAAAGGGAGTTTGTCTGCATGTGATAAAATACAAGCCAGTCCCTGTTCTCCTGGTGGTGCCATTTATAACACCCAGCACCTTGCAGCTGCAGTTGCAGTCAAGAGCCCTCACCTCAATGTGCTCTGCTTGAGGAGCACAGGCAAGAGGCAGGAGCAGAGAACAGGCAAGTCCCCATTTCCCACATGGAATGGGGACACAGATGGAGCAAGCAGCTTGCTGGGAATCATGGTAGAGCAAGCAGCAGCTCCACCACAGACTTGTGTCCCAGCTCTGCTGACCTACACCAACCTGAGGAACTCACTTTTGCCACGAGTCAAACCAGATCAAACCCATCTACACCACTGACACGTCAGCACACCCACCCCAGGGCTTCTACTGCAGTAGAGATTCCTCAGAAGAGACAAGCCTGTGTTGACTCAGCTGTTGATTTATTTGCTTAAATTTCCTTTTAAGATAATGGAAATTATACTCACATATTGATGACCAAATAGATTAAGTCTTATCTCAGAAAAGGCAGCTTTCATCTGCACTCCAGGCACTGCACCACTGCTCCAGGGCACTGCAGGCATTTATACAGGTGCCCTGCAGAGAACTGCTACTGGAAAGGTAATTTCCAACTGGCTTTAGCCAATACCTCAGATGAGACAAAGATGAGATGCAGAGGGAACCAGAACCACCACCCTTAGATTCCCTGGACACAGACACAGGAAGGAAATGGTGCATTTTCTAATGAGAATGCAAGAAATAATCTTTCTTCTTTTTCAGCCTCTCTGACAGCAACTGTTTTAGCTTCTCGTGACCCGAATACTGAGCTTGCAACTCCACAGCAGAAGGGACAGTTGCTGTGCTTCATCTTGACTGTGCAAGTCAGCAGGATTTTCCCCTGGGTCTCACTCGCGTGCGTGTTGTGTGCTAAGTGCCTGCTCCTGGTCAGTGTCACAGCCAGGCTACCTGCTCAGACAGCCCTTTTGTCTGCCTGTTCTTCCTTACTCAGGCTCTTACTAAGTGCGTCCCAGTCCTAAAATCAAACTGGGATACCTGCCTGGCATATCCCTCACATCTTTTGATGGAGTACACTTCTTCCTCAGTGACTATTCGCTATCCAGCACACCTATTTCTGCTATCCCTGGGAAAGCAACATTTGCCTTACTAGAAAGGAGACTGAAGCTTAAATAACCCCAGACAAGCATTACTAGAGGAGAGTTACAAGTGAAAAGTGAGGTAATTGCAGATATCCCTAATTCAGAGAGGCTTAAGCACATGCTTTAGCTAATGACACAAGTAATCCAGCAAAACTTTTCCCATCAAAGCACTTGAGCACACTCTGGAATTACCACTCCACAGAGGACAGGCTGCTGTTCCAGTTCCCAAGGGGGTGTGCACTGCCAGCAGTACTGGGGAAGTCTTGCAAGTGGGAGCAAGAGCACTTTCCTTTGCAGGGCTCATTTCACCAGGAAGGAAAAAGTTTTCACGTGCTTCAACAACTCCTGATACAGCCCAAACAACAGAGCCCAGGTCTAAGACAAGTGTATTAAAACAGAACATCTGAACCAGTAATATTGCCACACTTAAACTCAAAATATATTCCCAGCAGATCAGGGGCCAGAGGAAGGAATACTCTACCATGGGCAGATCTCTCACATCATGAACCTGCCTTTGTTTCTTCACCTTTCAGTGAAGAAGGCTGGAACTGTGCATGTGTCTAAGTGCACACCTGGTATTAAATGTACTAAAACCAGAAACCAAGTCAAAAGCAGTCAATGAAGTGAGGCAGCACTTTGCCTGGATGGGAGAGCTTCCAGCTCTGTCCAAGGCACTGTCCCTGCCTCCCACCATGCCCAAGCCAGGCTTCCCACCCAGCATGGGATGCTCCTGCTCTCACCACCTGGACCACTGCCTCTATCCAAACAGTTCAGGAGGGATATTGGAGTGCTGGAGCGGGTCCAGAGAAGAGCAACGAGGCTGGTGAAGGGACTGGAGCACAAGTGCCATGAGGAGAGGCTGAGGGAGCTGGGGGTGTTCAGCCTGGAGAAGAGGAGGCTCAGGGGAGACCTTATCACCCTCTGCAACTCCCTGACAGGAGGTTGGAGTCAGTCCCAGACAACCAGCAGCAGGACAAGAGGGCACAGACTCAAGCTCTGCCAGGGGAGGGTTAGGTTGGATAATAGGAAGAGATTTTTTTACAGAGAGAGTGATCAGGCATTGGAATGTGCTGCCCAGGGAGGTGGTGGATTCACCATCCCTGGAGGTTTTCAAGCTGAGCCTGGATGTGGCACTTAGTGCCATGGTCTAGTAACCAAGGTAGGGCTGGACTTGATGATCTTAGAGGTCTTTTCCAACCCGGATGATTCTATGATTCTCCCCACAGCCAGCCCTCTTGCAGGCCTTCACTACAGGCAAACATCACAAATAACCAGTGACTCCAGTCCCCATGGACACACAGCAGCTAAGGACCATGTGCCACCACCAGTGCTTTAGAAGGTCAGCCCATGTCTCCCACCATCCTGGCCCTGCAGCCCCTTCCTGCTCACCATTTGCACCAAGGGCAACACAGTGGCTCTGAGTAATGCCTTGCAGGCTCCAACAGGAATCCACTTTGCAACTTCTAATTTAATAAAACCCAACCAGCAATGATGCATTTGCTGCTGTGATGACTGTGAGCTCCAAGCAGCTGCATGGTTATTGAGCCTCTCAAATTATATAACAATTATGTATGCTTACATTAACATTACCTTGCAATCTCTGGATTGCCTGGCAACACTTTTCCTTCAGCATGCACAAACGGTGCACTTTTCCTCTTAATTATACAATAATTGCCATGCATTTACCCAGCAGTTCAGAAAGAGCACCATTTTTAATGTTCATTCCCTAATAAAATAAGTGGTTACTCAATGGCCCAAAATAAAGCATCCTATTGTTCCTGTTGCTGGGAGTGCTTGGGCACCCTATAATTTATTGCTGAGTTTCATTCCCTCTGCCTAGGACTACTCACACTTTACTCTTTCTTTTTTTTATGCCATGCATTTACCCAGCAGTTCAGAAAGAGCACCATTTTTAATGTTCATTCCCTAATAAAATAAGTGGTTACTCAATGGCCCAAAATAAAGCATCCTATTGTTCCTGTTGCTGGGAGTGCTTGGGCACCCTATAATTTATTGCTGAGTTTCATTCCCTCTGCCTAGGACTACTCACACTTTACTCTTTCTTTTTTTTATCTCTAAACCTCTGCCTAGGACTACTCACACTTTACTTTTTTCTTTTTTTCTCTATCTTCTAAACTCAAAGTTTCCTCTGAGCAGGAACTGTTCCACCAGCAGCAGCCAGCACAGCAGAGCTGTTTCTAAGACATGCTGAGCTGAGTTGCACAAAACATTCAGGGTACTCCTCTCCTGTACCTAGGAACTCTTACAGATCCAAATAACTGTATAATGACATTTTCTGTTCCCTTCTCTATCTCATTCCAAATAATTCCCCAAATCTTGTTAGCTTTGTTGAATGTCACTAAGTAATAGACTGGCATTTTCAAGAACAAAAATCAAGAATAAAGCCTGAGAGAGAGAATGGATAATTTAGAGCCCATCACGCTGTACGTATTTTTAGTGTTGTTTCTCCCCCTCATGCATTACCCTGCAGTCAGCAACATGAAATTTTATCTGTCACTTTGTCATGCCATCTTCCTGCCAGTCTTCACAGTCAGTTCTAACAATGATGCTCCTGAATGACTCAGTATCATCACCCATCTCTTATTTCCCTCTACCCTTTTTCTGGTCATTTAGGAACACACTGAACAACTCAGCCCACAGTAGGGTTTCCTGTTTAGCTGCACTAGTGTCTTTTCTCTATTGTGAAAACTGTATACTGACTTTCCTGTCAGATGGAGAGCCCACCAGAGTTGAGATGCTCCTCCCCAGCTGAGCAGGAGGCTCTGCCAAGCAGTGTCAGTGTTGGGATACTCACAGTACTCGATGCCCAGGACGATGTCTCGGAAGTAGAGCCGAGCCTGCTCCTCACTGAAGGGCTGTTCACTTGGTATCTCCATCACAGGCCTGTCAGGAAGAGGGAGAGCAACTAAGTACTTTGCAGAATGGCAGTAACATTCTTTGCTGGAGGACTACATTGCCCATCACCACATCCCCAGCAGTGAGGACCAGGCTCCCAAATGGTTCCAGGTGCTGTGACACAGGATGGAGGTGTGTCCATCCTTTCTGGATGTGGTGCTTTGGTTAGTGAACTCAGCTACTGATGATGGTACACTGTGAGTCACTGTGAGCTACATCAACAACATCAGGATTAACTGCTGATGTCTGCACAAAATAAGGCAAACACTACTCACTCAGAGTGCTAAAGGGAAAAGAACAAAACTGAACCTGGCCTTTGGTTTCTTCCTAAAGCTGCTCATGGCTGTGAGCACTAGCAGCATCTGGAGATCCCAGGCAGCAGTGGGGACAGTGCCCAATGCTGTGCACTGGATGTCATGCCTGCTGGGGCTCAGTCCTGAACATCAGTGTGCAGCTAGTCTACATGAACCACTGGCTCAAAGGTTAAGTGGGAATATTTCCAGTGCATTGTGCTAAACTGCTCTGAAAACATATTTAGCTCTTCAGGGTTCAGCCACCACCAGAACTCAGCCATTCAGCCCTGAACAGCCAAGGTTACGTGGTCAGCTTCTCCTCTCCTTTCCTTTGTATGCCACCACTGCTGAGGGATGCACAGACCCCTCTAAAAGTCCCTCTTCTGCCTGTGCCTGGTGAAAGTTGAGGGCAAAGAGCCTGTAAGACCTAGTCAGAATCTTCTGTTCCCCAGAGGATGAATGGCAGGAGCTAAGGACTTGACTGCACTGGGGGTTAATCCTGCTTGTGCTCAGCAGCTTGACCTTGCTTTTGGATGTATGCCCACTGACTCGAGCTGGATTTAACTGAGTGCTCCTGAGACTCTGTCCTGGCAAGCCAAATCCTGGCAGAGAAGAGCCCATTGCCAAAACCAGGCTCTGCAGCTCTTCCCCTCAGCACCCAGCAGCAAATCCTTCCTGCAGCATTCATCTCTTCTCCCTTGCTGCCCATTTGATTGATGACCTTCATCTCCCATTTGCATTTTCCTGTCACTGCCTTCCCTCCCTCTTCATGCACATTTTTTCTGTTGCTGAAACCAGGGAGAAATAACGTGAGCACAGGACTGGCAGAGCCACTAATGGAGTCTAATTGCCTCCTGCTAGAGGCAGCCTCGGTGGAGCCCCACGTTCCCTGGCCACAGCTGTTTAGAGGAGCTCCCTCTCCTACAGGATAGACATCAGCCTGGTCACCAGGGAGACTGAAGAGCCTCTCACCAGCAACCTGCTGGAGCTGGCAGCCTGCAAGCTTGTTCATGGGCCAGAGAAAAAAATAAGCCCTTGGGGAATATCTACCATCCAGGCACAGCTCTCCTGACCTCACTGTGACGCTGCAGAATCAGTGCAGGTGTAGCAAAAAGCAGTGAGGAGCCTCCCAAACCTTATGACATCTCCTGCTGTGGAAAAGTGTGTCAACAGAACAGCCTCCCATGATATAGGTTGGTGCTTGGGGAAAAAATAAAGCAGCAAGTGGCAAGTAAGTCTTGATACAACCACACAGCCCTTGTGCCAGAGGAAGCCACGATGTGGCTGGTGCCCCAGCAGAATATTGCTACTGAAAGCTTTTCTTCCAGGCACCTGATAGGGAATTGGCATCAAATTAATTTTCCAGATCAGAGCCTGACACCAGGACATGTTCTCCCAGCCCATTACTATTCACAACATCGTTCCAGGCTGTAGAAGGACAAGGACAACTACAGCTGGATTTTGCCTGCAGACTGCAGTTTGCCCCACTGGATATATCAAACCTCCATTTCACTTGGGAAGCTAGGGATGAACACCAACAATTTCAACAGAAGGGATACAAGAGGGCTACTTACCCTTTTCTCATGAGGTCAAACACTGCAAAAAAAAGGAAATCAAACCATGAATGAATGAGAAGAGTGAACTGGGCTTATTCATCACCTATAAAAACACATCCATTCCCATACCTGCAAAATCAATTTATCTCCACCCATTTCTCTTCCCTCACCCATGACAAGGACACCAGAGGATGTAAAATGAAAATATTCATCTCTTTGGCAGAGACAGATATCCCACCTCCTGCCAGCTCCACACAGGGAGACAGCGGGTGCTAATTTATCAACCAAACTGCTGCTGCTCCTGGTGTCAGCCCTTGCTGATGCGAGCCCTGTTGTATTCAGTACCTTCAGGGAGGGTGTTTGGTGTGATATTTCTGCTAAATTGCTGATACCAAATGAGATGCTGTAAGAACATGTTGCTCCATTTCTGCTGTGTCAATCAGCAGCACAGCTACATGGCTGTCAGAGGGAAATGCTCCGTGGCAGGAGTGACTAGAGAGGAATTGTTGGTGTGAGTTGAGGTTTGCAGAGCATGTGAGTTTGTGTGTCTGATTAGGGGGTGAGTGGCTATGTGTTTTTTGGATCCTGCTCTGTCCTGTTCTGAAAACAGGAGAAGGATCTGCCTTCATCTAGTGGAATAGCTCTTTTGGCATGATTACTAGGGGATTTTTTGCACCTCCCAAGAATTCCAAGCAGATCCCCCTCCCCAAAGCACTGGGGAGTCCTGCTTACAGCTGCAGTGTTAGACCTGCTGAAGGGACAAACACAACAGGGCAGCCTGAGTTGGCTCACCTTGCTCTCCAGACTGAAGAAGCTGCAGCTTGTGGCAGCATTTCATTATTCAACCACCCTGTACTTTTGCAGGTTGCTCCATGCCTGTCAGCACCTTCCATCCCTGCTTCCTTCCCACTGAGCACACAGCAGAGCCCTCACAGCAGTACTTGATGCCAGCAGTCATTAGCAAAGAGCAAACACCACTTCCTCTAGGTCTGCTTTGTACTGGGCAGCATTTTTGGAAGGAGAAAGGTAGAGTTATCAACTGGGACAGCAGCAAGGGGCTGTGCACAGCTGTACTGACACATGGTTGCCTTACCCTACTGTATAGCTTTCCAACCCAGCTGCCTTTGCAGGCATTTAACTTTGCAGAGAAAAATAAAACTGCAGAAGTTGGTACAAGTTTCCTCCTGTATTGACTGTGAGCCCTGGTACATGTTCCTTCCATTACTAAGTCTAAGCCCAGATGGTTCTGTTAGTGTATATGACTCACATACCCATGTACAAGTTGTCCTCTGCAGGATCATCAAGGACCTGTAATTGATAACAGAGAAATAAAGGGAAAGGGGGAAAAAGAGAAAAACAGCAGGGGAAAAAGGAGATTTTTAGTCAAGTAACATTTTACTGCTCCCCCCTGTACCCTGTGCTGAGCTGCAGAGCACTGAGAAGGACTTAGGATAATATTTAGAGAGTCCTGCAGAGGGAGAGGTATTGAAGGACACAGATTTTCCTGTCTCCAGAAAAATCTGGGCTTCTGCCTGTATTTGGAGAAGCAGCCTACCAATAAAGGCACTGCTTGTCCTAACCTGAACTCAGTCAATAAGAAAAATGGCACTGAAGCCTTGCACTTGTGGACCTTCCCAGGCTTGTCTGCACACAAGTTTCAGTGATCAAAGCTTGCTGCTATTTCTACCAGCACAGTGTGCTACCTTCTCTTGGGCACCAGCCCACAGCCCAGGGTAAGTGTGTCAGTTTGTCCTACATAATTGGTATGATCTTGCTTGGAATCACAAGCCTAAATTTATGAACAACTATTTTAAACCAATTTTGGCTGAAGCAGGAGCTGCTGAAGAAAGATTCTCTTGTTGCAATACAAAGCAGACTTGTCTCAGCATAGCTTAGGGTGGAGAAGCAGCTCACCTCTATCAGCTTAACGATGTTGACATGGTCCAGTTTCTTTAGGATGGCTATTTCCTGATAGACTCTGTCCAGTGGTGCCATGGGTTTGGGCTGCTCTCCAGAGGATGCTTTAGACCCTCGGGGAGGAGGTCGACCTGCAAGTGTGACAACATGGTGAAGAACTCCTTTGTAGGCAGCACCTGCCATGCTATTCTGGAAGATCTCATTGCCTTGTTCTCATCCCAAAGCATGAGAGTCTCTCACCTGCAACTGAGACTTCCAAGCCCCATTCAGAGCAGCTCCTCCCAGCTTCCCAGCCTGGTGTGTTTGCCAAGTCCCATGGCCCAGCCACTGGAACCAGGTGCTAATCCAAGGTAGTAAAAGAGCCCTTGGGAGGAAGTGGACTACCATGCCTAACTTCTAGCACTTAATTAGGTTTTCACAGATGGTGAACATGGAAGAGTCAGTGCTTCAAACAGACTCAAAATCAGAGCCAGGAATCCAATTACTGTGTTGAATCTTCCTGCAGTTGTACTTACCCCTTCACTACCCACTGCCTTTTAACCAGCCCCCAACTACTGAGGCAGCTCTCAGGAGAGGCCAAGTTCTACAGTGCTTGCAGACAGTATTTCTACAGAGAGATTTGCCTATCTGAGGGCAACAGGTAGACCTCTAAATGTGAGATACCCACGTGGAAATCCATACTGCTTCAAGAGCTTCTTTTTGGAGAGGACTTTCATAGCCTAAGGGAAGAAGAGAAAGTAGTGTTAAAACTGAACAAGAGCTAAAGTGCTCATTGCTGTGAGCTGGGAGTATGCTGAGCATCAGAGACTGGCTCAGGTCTGCTCTTTAACCTAGAAAACAAGTGCCTTGGTTAGTGGTGGCCACAACAGACACTGACCCAGGCTTCCCTAAAGGCACTGCTACCCATTGTTTCATTCATTATTTCCTCATGAAAAATTAGATGGTTTTGATTTATCTTCAACTGGACAAAGAAAAAGGAGTCAAATATCTGCATTTGGGGCAGGAGCTTGAGGGAAGAGGTGAGTTCCTCTAGCTGACCTTCATGTACTTGCTGTTTTGGATGACCTATGGCCACGCTGCAAGTCAGAGCCACTTCAAGGCTGCTCCACCTTATGTTTTGCTTTGCCAGAGGGTCCAGGAAGCAAAAGAGCTGGAGTGTCATGACCATACAGCTAATACCCTTGCAACTTCCATCACAACCTGCCTGGGGAGGCCCTTTGCATACCCAATGACTATTTTTGCCCCATAAACCCCTTCCATACTGCCAGAGCAATACAGAGCACCTGCAGCTTGATCCAGTCCAGGACCATGATGAACAAGACACTGTGGGAATCCATCCCTGCACCATCAGGCATGTTGAGACCAGCTCTGGGCAGGAGCACAGCAAAGACACAGGGAGGGGAACAGGATTTTGCCAACAGCTTCCCTCCTTTCTCATACCCAATCTGGCATCACTGCAAACCCAGGCAGCTGAAGTGTGGGAGGGGGTCAGGGTAATTTTTCTTGTCATCCAGTTGGCATTAGCATAGTGGCAAAAGGCAATCTGAATTTAATAAACAGTCTCTGTGCCTCCATCTGCTCTGTGCGTTAATAACCTTTTGGAGGGCTACTCAGATAGCCCTGAGTGGCCCAGCAGATAAATATTTCATGAGGAACCAGCTCATGGTACAATCTGCTGAGGAAAACAGCCTATGCTCCCAGGAGCTGGGATGGTCACTCACTCCATCCCCTAGAATAAGTAGTTAGTCCTATTAATTAAGCATCCAAAACTGTAATTCACACTGGAGTGACTCCTGCAAAACATAATTAACCAAGGACTCCTGCAGGACACAGTCAAATGCCAAGGAATTTTGCATTAATACCACAGAGGCAGAGTCTCTGCATACTCCACATATACCAGGAACAGGTCACCAAAACCATTTCACCAAGCTCCTTCCCAAGCTGTTTTTATCCTGGCAGCAATGGCACTGCATGCCCCAGGATCCCCACATCCCATCAGTGCTCCTGCTGCAGACAGGTTCATGGCTCACTGAAAGGATTGTTATTTTTGGTACTGATCCAGTGAAATCCTCTGGATTTGCACCCGTGTAATTGAGAAGAGACATTGTGTAGTTCTCAATCCTGCCTGACAGCTCCAAGCCAACTGTTGGAATGGATGGTGTTGAGAGACAGACTCAGGAGTGCTTATCTTTTACTTAGCACAGCACTGTGTCCAATACAGACAGCCAAATGATTCATGGTCTGCTGAAAGAGGATCCAAGCTGTGCAAAACCACCTCCAAATATGGCCAGGATCAAGCCTGGAGGACTTCCTACGCTCCCACTTTTATCTCTCCAGAATGAAAATTTATGAGAAAAATCAAAGGAATTAGTACATCCATTTCTCTTTCAACCACTGCCAACCTAGGAGGAGAAGGCTCCTCTTGCTCCAAATCCATCTTGAGTCCTCCATGCCTTCTGGCAAGGAGCTTTAGAAAAAGGAGAAGATGCAATTTGCTGCTGAAAGCTCCCAAGTTGGGGGACCCAACCTAAGGGACTAAACCATTGCCACCAGCCATGTTCACCTCAGGCTAGTCCTTCCCAGGACAGGCTCTGGGAAGAGGGTGGAGGGAGCAGGAAGATACAGAGAGGAGCAATAGCAAAGACAAGAATTGCTGTCAAGGACAGAAATAGAGGTAACATCAAGGTAACGAGGTAACCATCACCCAAACTCCTTGAAGGATGCTACAAGGGGTGATGTGTGGTTACTGCATCATAGGTGAGCTGACTGTAAACCACTGCTACTGCCAGGGAAGAAGTGCCAGGACATTCCTATACCAGCTTCAAAGCACCAGGATCTGCTACTGCACAAGCAGGGCTGGAGCAGAAGAGAGGACCTGTCCCACCATGCTTACAAATGCAAACAGGGGACAAAGAGCAAAGTTCATCATGCAATGGGCCAGAGCCACCGAATTATCCCAAGAGCAGAGAGGAGAGCAGTGGCTGTGAAGCCTCACTTTAATTACAGTGAGCTGGCAGGACCAGGTTTCCTCCTGAATTGTGTCTGCATGTAATGGGAGCAACTCAGGGATGCTTCAGCAAACCTCTCCTTCCAGGCTCACACGCATGACAGAGCCAAAGACATTTGTACTCACAGGCAGAGCTAATTACCCAGATAATGCCTTTCTGATAAAGAACCAGCTCAGAGCCAAGCTGAGGGATTTTCCCTTTGCACTGGTGAGTGTTGCTTCAGCTTCCTCAGGAAAAGAGGGAACCTGGAGATTTCCTCCACGCATGCCCTTGCAAACATCTTCCTTCTGAATATTCACACGTGGACAGAAGTCTTGATGTTTCCCTTTGATAGGCAGTGGGAACTGTGTGAATTTCTCTGATGTATATTTATTATCCAAGTTCACTGTGCTTCTTCCAACCTGGTTGATTCTATGATTCTTCTATCAGTCTTGCAGCTGGAAACCACAGGGAAGCTGCCTGAGGGGAAGGAGATCCCAGGCTTGTGGAGAGGAGGAATGTCTGGAATACAGCAGCTTTCACAACAGCGAGGAGCTCAAGCTGCTGGTAATGACAACCACAAAATGGCCATTAGTTTGGGGAAGGAAGGGTGACAATATGATTGAGCCAAGGGAACTTATCACCTGTCCTTTGTGATGCTCTCACAGCACTTCGGATGTCATTTTATTTGCTAAGGGAGAGACTTGTATTGCAAGGGCAGAAGCCCTTTGCACAGTCCCTACCTGCAGCTCCCAGGGCAGTGGGATTCTGTTCAAAAGTTGCTACTAAGCACCTAGATCCTCTGCTAGTGCATGCTGTGGGAATGCTGAGCAGACTGGAGAGCATCTCCAGCCCTTCCTCACCTGTCCTGCCTAACGCCTCTCAGATAAAGTGACTGAGAGGGAAGCTCTGCTGGGAGAGAAGTGTTGTGAACTGAAAGAAAACCCTAAACCAGACAGGCTTCATTGCCATGGACCTAATATCTTGTTCCTGCTTTTGTCCCGTCAGCAGAATTCCATGGGCAGGCTGTGCCCCATCCATGCTGTGCCACCACAGCAGGGATGCCCTCCCAGAGCAGCTGTCCTCACCTACCTCCAGCTGTCTCCTGGAGGTTCCTGCTCTTACCTGGGGTGACCCAGCCCCTTACAACCCCACAGCTGAGCAGCATGGGGTGTTAGAGTAAGCCAGGGATCACCTCCCTGGTTCTGGCCACTCTGGAGCAAAGCTGGCAGTTGGTTCAGTAGCTGTTATGTAAGCAAGAGGATGAGAAACAGGAGCTGTGCCTTCCCTTCCTGCCTGGATGGTAACCAAACTGGATTCTCCAGGGGCTAGAAAGTTCAAGGCTTGCTGCTGGCCACCTTCTTCTCAACAGCAACACTTTGTTCAGGCATCGCTTTTATAAACTTGGAAGGAGTTTCTCCCTATCATTGAGACTTGGTAGAAAACAGCCCTCCATGCAAAGGTTGTTAGGTACAAACAAAGGCAGAGACACAATCACATAAATCTTGTTTCTTAGGAAACCAGATTAAAAAAGAAGGATAAGAAAAAAGAGAAACCCACTGACAACCTACAACACTATTGCCTTACTCCAGCAGTAGCATAACAAATGTTGATAATAACCACTTTTCTTTGCAAGCTGATTTAGAGATTGAAAATAGGAGGGAGACATGGCCTGAGGCATCACAGAATCAAATTCCATCAGCACAGTGGCTCCAAACTAGATCTCTGCCCGGACACATTTGCCTTTCCTTTATATTTGCTGATTTTTCACAGAGCTTGGCCTTTCTTTTTTTCCCCTAGTCACTGTCAAAGCATCTCCTACAAACTGAGACACTGAAACCTTCTCAGTGTAAAGGGTTCCTTGGCAGAGCCCCACAAATGCTGCTGTGCCAGTGCCCCAGGAGCAGCAGGGACCTCTGCTCTCAGAGCCAGCTCTGCATCCCAGTGGGGTCACCTCCTCAGAGGAAGCACTGGGTCACACACTCGGTGCTCAAAGTTCGATTTCCTTGGTCTAACACATTCCCTGCATCCACTGATGTAAGCCAACACATGTTTACAGCCCTCCATGGCACTGTGGTTGTTCTCAGCAAGAGTAAGGCTCTTGGAAGCACTCCCTCATCTTTAATGGAAGGTAAAAAACCCACAAAGTAAATACAACCCATCTACATTTTTCCCAAATGTGGTGAATGGATTTTTTTCTTGAGAGTTTTTCCTAATTCTAGGCCAAATCCAAAACTCATTAAAGCAGCATCAGTCTTTCCTTTTGCTTTGATAGGAGCTAGATTCAATCCCTGGTACCTATAAACTGCCTTTTCAAAGAAAGCTAGCAAAGGGCCCCAAAGGGCCTCAGCAAGAATCAGGAGTCACAGTCTAAATTATAGTCCAAAAAGAATTTTTTCTGCACTCTTTACTATTTTGTTCCTTTTCATTGCAGCACACTAGCTAACGACACTAAAGCAGGTAGCAACACCTTGGCCTCATGCTAAAACACTAACGACACTAAAGCAGGTAGCAACACCCTGGCCTCATGCTAAAATGCACACTTAAATCAGTTAGAGAATCAGATCACAGAATGGTTTGGATTGGAAGGGACCTTAAAGATCATTTAGTTCCAACCCCCTGCCATGGGCAGGGACACCTTCCACTGGACTAGGTTGCTCCAAGCCCCATCCAACCTGGCCTTGCTCACTAAAGGCCAACCAAGGGCTGATTTCCTCCAATTATCTGTTATTGCTTTTCAGCACTGAGACAAAAAACCACCCTCCAGAGCTAAATTCAGCTAAAAACAAACACAGAAAAGGCTCTCCCCAGCTATTAGAATCACAGTTGCTTCTACTAACTGCTGGTAACAGGCAGTTGCACTAGGTATCCCCCAGGGGGTTGGGGTGCACTGCTGTGGAGCAGCCCTGGATGGGAAAGATAAGCAGAGCAGGATGGAAGTTGTCCCAGCACTGGGAGAACACAAGGGTCAGGCACACCAGCAGCGTGGGGAGCTAAGCAACCATTAGCCTGTTATGTAATTGGCACTATTTCTCTGAAGCTTTGAAAAGTCTGCCAGGTCCTGGGCTATTTTAATGACTTGGAAAAGCAGAGTTGTCTCCATCAGCTTGGCCTTCTGGAAAACACAAGCACAGTCACCTGGAAGGATTAGGGGTGACAGGTTGTCTGCATGTGACTGCAGCTGGGGAAGGGGGAAAGCTCCCACTGCCCCAGCCAAGAGGGCAGGAGGCATATGAGACACAGACTTTAGCCTTTCAGCAGCAGTGCAGCCATCTGTGTTCTCCTCTCCACCCACCACAATCAAACACAAGCAGACATTGCTGATGCTCTTGCTCTGGTCTCATCTCTCCTTCCACTGTGGCACTCCACACACCTCCCAGGAATACCTTCACAGCCCCAAGGTCCCAGCTCAGATCTGGTTCAGACCCTGCCTCAAGCCACCACATGGAAGATCAGGCTGAACCAAAGGGCACATCCCTGCAACGGTAAGGAACCTACACACCCTGTCCTGCTTCAGGCAGTGAGGCTGAAACAGCACCTAGGCATGGGACCCCTCCTGGGCTGTATTAAGTGTTTGCTTAGATTAGAAACAGAGATTAAGTGAGGATTAACTAACACACACCAGGCTAACCTGGACAAAGGCTTTCACTTTTGGCTTTGATTTGATCAGCTGAACCTACATCCATGGCATTAATCTGCATCCAAAACATGGACAGGAACACAGCAAGCAATGCTAACCCAAACCCAGCTCTCCCCTGGTGAGCTGGGACAGCTGCCCTGGGCACCCTGCAAGCAGTGTGATGGGATTTCCTGAATGAAAGGGCAGTGGCAAAATGTAAGTATGACAATTTTCAAAGCAAAAAAATTTCAGCTGGAAATAAACGTGATTTATTAATGAGATGTGTTCCCACTCTGTGCCGCTGGTCCTGGCACTGCCTATGCTGGTGGGACAGATGGATCAGGGAAGCCACAGCTGGCACCATTGCTCTCTGCAGAACAAACTATCCTGCTGCAGGGCATAGCAAAGAGGATTCTGAGGGCAGCAGAGACAGGGAGCCATTGGAAACAGCAACTACTCTGGTGCAGTGGTGAGTCAGCTTGGAAAAGGACTGGAGAATGAAAGAATTGTGGTTCCTTTGCTTGGCCAGCTCCAGGGCACCTTGTCCAGATTTTTGTCTCATCTCTTCCATCCTTTATTTCAAGACATTCCTCCTGCAATTTCATGCTTACTGGAAGCAAAGAAGGGCTAACTAATACCCACAGGCATACAATTCCCACCTGATCTTTTCAGCCAGGCATGTCACTTGTAAATCCAAGAGTCAGGGAGGAAAAGCTCACTGGGGAGTAGTGGAGAATGAGCACAGTGTATACCTCCACAGCACACTCTTATTCCCCTTTGTAGCAAGACCAATAGGGACAGGGAGCAGCACATGAGTCTATGTGGGTGCTCTGATGGGCCCATTTTCACTCACATGAGGCCACTCTAGGACCCTCTCACCAAACACAGCATGGAGCAGCAGCTCTGGCAGGGCTGTGTTGGGGGCAGTAGGGCTCAGGTTCAGCATCACTGCAACCACTTAGCTCTGCTGAACAGATACCTGCCCTGGGATCCATCAGAAACTGCTGGAAGCTCTTTCCAGCAGCCTTCAGGCACAGCCACACACAGCGAAGCAGTTTCCCTTCCTTCCAGCTCCTGCCCTTATCCTGAACAAAACATGCCACAAGGTAAGCTCAGGGACATGAGCATATCTGCAGGCAGATTTTGCAGGAATTCCAGCTGGGATGGCTGGGATTCACCTGCTTTTGAAAGAGGAGGGGCCTTCAGCATAAGCAGCCTTTCTGAATGTGAAGCACTCCGACTCCGGCTTCAGCTCAGCAAGGGAGTTAAAAGCCAAAGTTTGTCTTCTGCCCTGCACTCTACACCTCAATGTCCTGACAGTGAGACCCTGTTCACGTGCCCCAGGCATCCCCCAGGGGGGTAAGATGCAGGGGAGCCAGGCACTGCCCAGCCAGGCCATGCTGTTCAGCATCTCTCATTTCCCCACAAAACACGCCTGCTCGTTCCAGGCCAATCTTCCAACGCACAGCAGGTGCTGAATACCACCACCCACACGCCTCTAATTTCAGGTGACCTGCTTCATAGCTAGAAAATGTCAAGACAAATCAGAGCCACACTCCTGCAGGCTGCCTCTGAGAGCCTGCCCGTTATGTAAGGCAGCCCACCCGATCCCCTCCCGCGCACGGGCAGCGGCTCCATGCCCAGTGGGATGTTCAACTCCCTGTATGCCACCCAAACCTGAAGGGCAGATGCTAACAGCAGCAAGGTAGAGGGGACCCAGCTCTCAGGAAGGTGAAGGGGAACGAGCAGCAAAGAGGAGCAGAGACACACTTACGTAATACTTGTCGTCGTTCTCGTTGTAGGCAAGTTTCACAACGCCGTAGGAACCCTAAAAATAAACACAAATGGCACAGTCAGTTCAGCAGCTTCACCTTGTTTGCTTGCTGCTCAAGGCTGGTAGACTACAGCCTTATGCAGGTTAAAAAACAGCTCCAAGGCCCCAGGCCATGCTGACCCCTGAGCAGAGTCTGCAGGTGATGTGACCCAGCAGTGAGGTTGTACATTTTGGCAGCTCCATTGGAGCCATGGGGTATTGGAGGATTAACAATGTCTGGAGGAGATGAGTATTCATTCACCCATCACCTCCTGCCCTGAGCCACTGTGTCTGTCTGAACTAAAACATGGATGAGGAGCAGAGAGAAAAATTTTCAAGCTGATTTTTTTTGAGTGTGCATGTTAGGAAATTCTGCATGAACACTTTTCCTGTACTCCTGCACAAGACCATTTTCAGCACAAAAACCTCTCCACAGTAAATGGACTGCAATGAAGACCAGCTGCCTGCCTTCCACAACCACATGTTGCCCAGGCAGATGCAGACCCAAACTGCTGCTGTATCCAGCTCCAGTGACAGCCTGAAGCCAAGCTCCATCCAAACCACTGTTTTTTTGCAGTTCTGTGTCAACACTAAACATTTTACACGAGCGAGACATGACACCGTGGCTAGCTATCATCCCTGACAGATGCCTGTTGAATAAATGAGTGGGATGAACACTAGAGCTTTTAAAACATTTCTCTTGGTTTCAGTGAGAGCTGGAATGAAGGTCCTGGTCTCAGAAGAGACCAACAAGCCATCTGGCTGACCCAGAAGCACACACAGCAGGCACAGCAGACCCTCTACCAATCTCACAGTGCCTATCTGCTCGCTCTGATCCACCAAGAAGGAGCACACAGGGGCAAATCCATGTGTGAGAGGGTCTCACTTAAGCCAATGACAAAGGCTGTAAGTGGGTCTGAAGCTGTATGTGCATTTGGGATGGAATCTGCTGTACCACCAGCAGTGGTATCTCCAGCCTTACTCCCTGCCTGTCAACAGCCAAACACACAGCACACTGCACAGATGGTATAAAGGTGCCTCTTCCCACAGCCTGGGCCTCTTCTTTTGGAGTCTGGGCTAATGAAACTTTTGGTGAAGGTCTCTGCAGCTCAGGGTGCTGTCCCTTTTGACTGCAATATTCCAACTGCAAAGGTAGGCACAGCTTCCAGACAGCACCATCGCTCCTGAGCCCATCTGCAAGGGTGGCAGACATCCAAATGTGCAGGTGTCTGAGCTGCTCACCAGCCCAGACCTCTAAATAACTTTGGAGGAATCTCTTCTGAATCATTCTGCAGCATTTAAACGTGGACTAGAATTAAGTGAGTGTTTCATACGACATAAAAACTTTAACTAGTCCTCATGGGGACCAAACACCTGTCCTGATCTTTTTTGTTTTGGTTTGGTTTTTTTTTCTCTCCTTGTTGTGCTTTTTTGTTTTGGTTTGGGTTTTTTTTCTCTCCTTGTTGTGTTGTATTAATGCATCAAAGGCTCTTAGTGTTACATTTGGCAAGCAAACACCCTGGAAGGGAGCCAGCTTTACCACCTTCTCAGGGAGGAAAAATAAATTTAGATTTCAGAGGAAGTAGCTCCACTTTGACCTTGAACAAAACTTAATCAACCTAATAAGGAATTAAAACCTCAACAAAAAAAACCCAAAATAAACACAAGTTACAAGAAGTCTTGGCCGTTGAGGTCCCTTGGGCTGGCACAGTCTTTCCACCTGTACTTATGTGTGTGACCAACACGAGCTCCAGTACATACCTTGCCTATTTCACTCTGCAGCTTGTACTGGTTTAATTGCACACAGTCCTGCAGATCAAAAGGAAAACATAATTAGAGTATTAGTAAAGGAAATAACTGAGTTTGAATCAGGTTCAAGTAGAGGCAGAGTGCTAAGTAATGAAAGACTAAATCTTACTTAAACTGGTGTATGTTAGACTGTAAGCACTGTATTATTTTTTGACACTCCAGGAGAATATAATTATGGGCTGAATTCTGACTCTGGTTGTGCTGGTGTAACACCTCCCCAGTTCCCCAGCACTGCTCCAGTTTCAGCCCAGGGAGCCTGACATCAGCCTTTGGCCTCTACATTGATCATCTCTATTGGACTGCTCAGTACCAAGCAGGAAAACCTCCATCCCCAGCTCCCCAGGGCTCTCATGGCCTGGCAGCTCCCAGCACCTATCTCAGCCCCAGGATCACAGCATGAGTCTGTGCCCTTCCCAACAACAGCCTGGCAAAGACAGGGATCCTCTGTGGCTGTGCATGATGGCTGTGGCTGAACCCAGAGGAACTCTCACCTGGATCACACCTGGAGAGGAGAGCACATGGAGCCAAGCTCCTCTGATAGGCAACACAAGCTGTACTGGATTCCCTTCAGCTGATACAGTATTTGCTAACTTAAATCACCTCAGAGCAGGTTTGATCTCTGCTGGCAAGCTCTCCAGCACTGAAACCCCAGGGTGGGCAGGTGGGGGTGCAGACTCCTGCAAGGTGTGATGATGGGGTGCTGAGCTCCTGACAGACCAGGAGCCACGCAGGGAGTGATGGTGGCCACAGGCATTGGCCACTGGAAAACAAGGTGGAACAGAAGAGTGGTGTGATTATCTGATGTTAAACCCACCCTTCCTTCAGCACTGTACTGCCTAAAGGAAAACAATTCCACAGCAGCAGCACTGTGAGGGGATCTGTGGGGGGAAAGCACAGCACACACCTTGCTGCAATGCCAAGCTCCTGGCAAAGAGTCTGAGTGCTCTTGCAGGGATCTCTGCAGTGCTGGCAGCAGGGAGAGTGGGCTGCACTGCATCTTGCTTTGGTCCTGACTTAACACAGCACTTAACTGCATTGCAGAGGAGAGGAAAGTCCCAAACCCAGTGGTGAGAGGGAAGGAAGGAGTTTTCAACCACAGCACATGGTGTGGGCTGAGCTTTAGATGGGACACACTTATATTTCTGAACACAATATTTCTTCTCTACATCACCAAGCACTAAAGCAGGCTGGAAATTCATGGCCAGCCTCTGCACCAGGCACTTCTTTGGGAACAGAGTCGATATAAAATATGCAGACAGGTAGGTTAGCCTTCCCATAAACCTCCAAATAGCCCTGCCATCTACACAAGCAGCACCACAACAAAAAAACACTGCCAGATGCCTTCAAGTTCATTTGTAAGAACAGGGGGTGTTATAGTTCCTGCCCCATGCAGCATTCCCACCAACAGCACACTCCTCTGCCTCTCAGGATGCAGCATGGATGTGGTAGATGATAATTTTGACTTTTCCCCATCACCAGCCAGAGAACACTCGCAACACAAGGGATCATCAGAGTGGAGAATAAGGGAATGGGGAACTGATGGCTTTTTAAGCCTCCAAGCAGTGGCTTCTCAGGAATATAAGGAATGGTTTAAATCTTGATCTTGTCACCAGTGAAGGGTTTTTTTCAACCTCCCTGACAGGGAAGAAGAACCAACTGTGAGTAATGGGGCCATAGAAGTGTATTAACTCTCCTGCTAGCAAAGTACATATCTTTCCAAAGGTAAAAACCAATCCATCAGAACTAGGAGCAACAAGAGAGGAGAAAGCATGACCCAGCAAAAGCCAAGATGCAAGGCACAAGGCCACTGAAAGATACAGAAAGAAAAACCCCCTTGAATTTTGCAGGTGGGGGCAGCACGGAGGAACCCAGAGTATGGACACATGGAGAACAAATTCCCCTGCACACACAGTGTCAGCAGATTCACTTCCCAGCACAAGGCTGTGCTTTGCACTGTGGTGATTTCCACAAATTAAGCAGCAGCAGTTTTCTGCCGATGTCTCCTGCCTTGGTT